TGATTTTTTACAGAGAGGAAGGGAGAGGGATAGAGAGTTAGAAACATCGATGATAGAGAAACATCGATCAGCTGCCTCTTGCATACCCCCAACTGGGGATGTGCCCGCAACCAAGGTACATGCCCTTGGCCGGAATCGAACCCTTGGGACCCTTGAGTCCGCAGGCCGACGCTCTATCCACTGAGCCAAACCAGTCAGGGCTCCACCCTGAATTTTTAAAAAACATATGTTTATTGATTACAGAGAGGGAGGGAGAGAGAGAAACATCAATGATGAGAGGGAAGCATGGATCAGCTGCCTCCTGCACGCCTCCTACTGGGGATCGAGTCCACAACCTGGGCATGTGCCCTGACCAGGAATCGAACCCCGGACTTCCTGGTTCGTGGGTAGATGCTCACCCACTGAGCCATACGAGCCAGGCTCCGTGTGTGTGGTTTGTTTTTATTTTTTAAAAATATATTTTATTGATTTTTTACAGAGAGGAAGGGAGAGGGATAGTGAGTTAGAAACATCCATGAGAGAGAAACATCAACCAGCTGCCTCCTGCACACCCCCTACTGGGGATGTGCCCGAAACCAAGGTACATGCCCTTGACCGGAATCGAACCCAGGACCCTTCAGTCCGCAGGCCTACGCTCTATCCACTCAGCCAAACCGGTTAGGGCCGTGTGTGTGTTTATAATATATTTTATTGTTTTTTTACAGGGAGGAGGGGAGAGGGATGGAGAGTTAGAAACATTGATGAGAGAGAAACATTGATCAGCTGCCTCCTGCACACTCCCTACTGGGGATGCGCCTGCAACCAAGGTACATGCCCTTGACCAGACTCGAACCTGGGACCCTTCAGTCCGCAGGCCGATGCTCCATCCACTGAGCCAAACCGGTCAGGGCAGGGTCGTGTGTGTTTTAATCCACACCCCAGGATTTGCATTATTTATTTATCCTTTCATAGAGAGGGCAAGAAAAATCAGATGCCTTCCTGATGGGTCCCCACTAGGGATCGAACAGGGCGCGGGGGTACAGGAGGGCACGCAACCACCTGGGTAACTGGAGGGGCCCCACCCCTGTGTTGTACCTGTTCACAGGGGGCTGGTTCCTACATTAGAGAGAAAACCCATGAGCCCGTTGGGCCACATCCAGCGTTTTATTTCTTCTCTAACCTCCTCTCCACACCAACTTCAAAGAAAAAAGCGAAGCGTTTGGCCCCGGATCTGCAAATTCAGAACACGTTTATTAGCTAATCAGATACGCAGTCCCAAACGGCACCACCGGAACCACACCGCACCGGGAGGCCCGTTTCCCGCCGACGTGACTCATTTCCGCTCGGCCTTCAGGGACTCAGCGCGCAGGTAGCCCGTGTCCGTGTCCCGGAGGCCCCCCCCCCCCAAGCCCGGCGGGGACTCAGGGACAGAGGGCCAGCCAGCTCTCAGCATCCCCTGTGCAATCCGCAGGCCCGAAAAAGGGGCGCAGGGGCTCCCCAGCCGAAGTGACGGGGAACGTGAACACGTGGGACCCATCGGCCACGTGGTAGAAGGAGAAGGTCCCCATCTCCACGTCCAGGAAGAGGCCCAGGCGGCGCAGGCGAGGCTGGACCATGAGCCCCAAGGGGGGCTCGGTGCCGGCGATGAACTGGTTCCCGTCCTTGCAGCTCACGGTCCAGAAGCCGAGCTCCGCGGACAGGACCACCTCGCCCTGCCGGGGCGCCGACTCCCTGCAGAGGCCCAGGCTCCACTGCCGGCTGCTCCCCACGTCCACCTCCCAGTAGTGGCGACCGGAGGTGAAGCGGGGAGAGCCCAGGACACAGGGGGAGTCGTTGAATCTCCCAGGGTGGGCTCGGCGCCCCTGTGGGAGACCCCCGATGCGGACCCGCTGCAGGTCCTCGGAGATGGTGAGGTAGTTGTGGGCGGTGTCCACGTCCAAGGTCATGTCCACTGTGGAGAGAGAAAGGATGGACTCAGCAGGTGCACGCCCTGGCCCCCCCCTTCCTGGCCACTGCCAAGGCCCCCACACCTTCCTGTCTGCAGTGGGCATTTTCCTGGGGAGACTTCCCTGGCCCCGGATTCAATAGAATTTTATCTACAGGAGGAATGATTATAATCGAGGAGCTAGTCTTTGTCCATCGTAGGTATTCTCTTGACATTAAGTGATTCAATTGAGTAAGGACTTTTCTTCTCTCTCTCTTCTTTAATATATATATATTGCTTTCAGGAAGGCAGAGGGAGAGAGAGATAGAAACATCAATGATGAGAGAGAATCATGGATGGGCAACTTCCTGCATGCCCCCTACAGGGGATGGAGCCTGCAACCCAGGAATTGAAACTGTGACCTCCTGATTCATAAGTTAACGCTCAACCACTGAGCCACACGGGCTGGGCTAAAAAAAATTTTTTTTTTATTGATTTCAGAGAGGAAGGGAGAGGGAGAGAGAGAAAGAAACATCAATGAGAGGGAATCACTGCCTCCTGCACGCCCCCTACTGGGGGACCAAGCCAGCAACCTGAGAATCTGCCCCGACTGGCAATCAAACCATGACCTCCATTCATAGGTTGATGCCCAACCACTGAGCCACCCGGGCTGGGTGGGACTTCTTTTCTCTTTAGTAAGGAATACACACGAAAAATAGACCACGAGTGCCATTTGTTCTCAAAATTATCATACAGCCCGGCAAGGGGCCCTGATCAATGATTCTCCCTCATCATGGATGTTTCTACCTCTCCTTTCCTCTCGGAAATCAATAAAAAAATTATCATGCAGATTATCACAAATTTCAAAGGATGGAAAATATTTTACTTCTTGCAGAATGATATTGACATTAAACATTAAAGCTTTCTCTGATCTCTTCTTTTAAAAAATATTTTTTACTGACTTCAGAAAGGAAAGGGAGCCGAACCGGTTTGGCTCAGTGGATAGAGCGTCGGCCTGCGGACTGAAGGGTCCCAGGTTCGATTCCGGTCAAGGGCATGTACCTTGGTTGCGGGCACATCCCCAGTGGGGGGCGTGCAGGAGGCAGCTGATTGATGTTTCTCTCTCATCGATGTTTCTAACTCTCTATCCCTCTCCCTGCTTCTCTGTAAAAAAATCAATAAAATATATTTTTTAAAAAAAGGAAAGGGAGAAAGAGATAGAAACATCCATGATGAGAGACAATCAGCCAATCATTGGTTGGCTGCCTTCAATCCCCAATGCCCCACACATGTGCCCTGACCGGGAATCAAACCTGGGACCCTTTAGTCTGCAGGCCGAGGCTCTATCCACTGAGGAACACTGGCCAGGGCTTACCCTGTCTTTATAAACACAGTTACCTTCCTCACTTGCTGTTGGTGACTAGGCCATGGCGCTTTACTGCAGTTACAACGAACAGGGAACAGGAGGTGCTCGGAGTCCTGACATTAGGATGTGTCAGAACCTCAGCAGCAACCTGGACCCAGACCCGATGGGGCGGCGGAAGGAGACTGAGTCTGCGGGGCTGGGCCTCCTGCTCCGACCCTCTGGCTGGGCAGGGAGAGCGGGCGTTCTTACAGGACCTGCGCAGGGAGCCCGAGCAGCCTCAGGCATGAACCCTGCCCCCCACAGACCAATGGCGTTTGTTGTTTGCTTTCTTTCCTTTTAAATGAAAAACAAACAAATGTTTTTATTGGTTTTTAGAGAGAGAAAAGGAGAGGGAGAGGTAGAGAATTAGCCATGAGAGAAACATGAATTGGCTGCCTCCTGCACGCCCCCTACTGGGGATTGATACCCCACACCCCTGTCTGGCGCACTGTTTTAATTTGGTGGATGGTGTTAATCCTCACCCCAGGATCTTTTTTCCATTGCTTTTTATTTATTTATTTTTAAATATATTTTATTGATTTTTCACAGAGAGGAAGGGAGAGAGATAGAGAGTTAGAAACATCGATGAGAGAGAAACATCGACCAGCTGCCTCCTGCACATCTCCCACTGGGGATGTGCCCGCAACCCAGGTACATGCCCTTGACCGGAATCGAACCCGGGACCTTTCAGTCCTCAGGCCGACGCTCTATCCACTGAGCCAAACCGGTTTCAGCTCCATTGCTTTTTAGAGTGCAAGCTAGGGAGGGAGTGGGGAAAGAGAGAGAGAGAGAGAGAGAGAGAGAGAGAGAGAGAGAGAGAGAAGCATTGATGTAGGTCGACTGACTGCCTTCAGAGGGGCTGGGACAGTGTTGGCGGAGGGAGCCCTCAGCCCAGGTGGGTGCCCTTGAAGGGAATCTGAATCCCCGCCCCTTGGGCTGGTGCTCCTCTCAGTGAGCCCCACCGGCTGGGGCTCTTTTTAAATGTTTGAATTAATTTATTTTTCATCGTAATCGAACTTGGGGACTGAAGGGTCCCCAGGCCGACGCTCTTTCCACTGAGCCAAACTGGCTATTACATGTTCACTGTAACTTAAAAGTAAATAGAAAAGATACTTAAAAAAATTTCCTTGCCCTGGCTGGTGTTGCTCAGTGGGTAGAGCGTCGGCCTGCGGACTGAAGGGTCCCGGGTTAGATTCTGGTCAAGGACACGTGCCCAGGTTACAGACTCGATCCTCAGTGGGGGGCGTGCAGGAGGCAGCCGATCCATGATTCTCATCATTGATGCTTCTCTCTCTCTCCCCCTCTCCCTTCCTCTCTGAAATCAATAAAAATATATTTTAAAAAATTTTCTTAAAAACACATGAACAATAACAAGACTCGGGTAGTACGTTGTCTGTAACATCCAGTCCACGAAAAATCAGGTTTCTGCCTGTGCCCATCTCCAGTGGGGCGACTGGGACTATTGGGGAGCCCAGGTCTAGGGCGATGCAGCGTTATATTTCCCTAAAAACCTACAGCCGGTTGTCATGTAGACTCGGGCTAGAGACACTGGGAAAGAATGAACATTCCAGGTGCGGCCGCCAGGGGAGGCCCGCCTGTCACGGGGCCTCTGAGAAACTGCCTTCCCTCAGGGTCGGGGCAGGGCGCCCAGAGGTCTCACCGTGGAACTTGCGAATCTTGGGGTCCATCTGCAGGACGGATGCCAGCTGGGGCTCCATCGCCTTGGCCTTGGCCGCCAGCCTGCCCAGCACTCTGTTGGGCTTGATGTCGGCCGTCTGAGAAACCTTGGAGCAGTTGAAGCACCGCACCCCCTCGCCGTCCGGCTCCTTGGGCAGGGCGCGCAGGCACCGGCGGCAGCAGATGTAGCCGCACTTGAGGTTCACGGGGTCCTCAAAGTACGTGAGGCAGACGGGGCAGCGGGCGGCTTCCTTAAAGTGCTGGGCCATGGCCGCCCCCTGGGGAGTAAGAGGGGCGGGGGCGGGCGCGGTGAGCTTCTCTTGAGGGAGAGGGACTCATGGGTCCCGGGACGCCTCCTCTTTCTAGGATAGACATTTGCAACCAGGACCGCTGGGTGAGGAGGATGCAATCGAAGGGCCAATAGAAATGGCTCCAAGCCCTGAACTTCTGAGGTGCAACACGCTGGTTGGGGTGGGGCTTAGCCACAGTGAAATGCGTGCAGCCTAAGATTTTGAAGACCAGAAGGAAAGAGAATGTGCACTCACTCCTGCACAGTCCCCCCCCAAATTGATTCCCTGTTAGAAGGATCTACACCTGCCTGTCAGGAGAAAATTAGCGTTTAATTTTTCTTTAGGCTTCCACGCTTCCCCATGTGTTGGGAATCGAACCCGAGTCCCTTGGGAGGGAGGGCAGCTGCTCTAACCACTAAGCCAACCAGCCGGACCTGGGTCGCTTTCCTTAGTCTTTGCTTATGGGGCTACTAGAACAGGAGTTTACAACGACAATTCCGGGTCCTCTGATAGATCCAGTGGGAAGTGCTGGCTGAGACCTGAAACCCTCCGCGTTTCCCCGCTGCCCCCGCCCCGCCCCCATGGGGGGGAAACCCACCGCGGAACCCAAGAGGCGGAGGAAGTCCGTGGGGGACACGCTTCGCACCGCCTCAGAGTCCGCCAAGCTCGGACCTGATGATCAAATTCTTACTCCCACCTGGTCCTGAACCGCCGAGTCCTGCCTACCGCTCCCATCAGAGGCCCCTGTCCCTCGGTGTCCACGCCATGCCTGGCCTTGAGTTGGCCCCAGACAGCACCTGCTGAATCGATAGATCCCTCCATTCCCAAGACCGTCTGTAGACATTTGAAAGTGAAAACGAAATCCCCTCAGATTGACTCACCTCTCAGACGCTAAGTCCCCTTCTGGCCTCTGGCTACTTCACTTGAAGGCTCAGCTGTGGAGTGAGGTCGACCAGCAAGCCGGCCGGTTTTATTGGGCAAGTAGCTCCTCCCACCTCACTCACTTCCTGTCCGTTACACCTAATTTCATCAGATGTTGATGAAAATAATGGGATTTTCTCAGGTCAGAGAAATTACCAGGGACAAAGGAAGTGACTGTATACAGAAGTTATTTTTAAACTAACATGAACAAAATATTGCCGTGTATTCATTCTACATTAGATCTTAAATATTATGTCTATCAATCCATTAGATTTAGGATTGAAATGAAAGACCGTCCTCATTATTAATCCTTCTAAAATGGCCTGGCTGGTTTGGCTCAGTGGATAGAGCGTCAGCCTGCGGACTGAAGAGTCCTGGGTTCGATTCCGGTCAAGGGCACATGCGGGGGTTTCCGGCTCCATCCCCAGTAGGGGGCGTGCAGGAGGCAGCCGATCCATGATTCTCTCTCATCATTGATGTTTCTATCTCCCTCTCCCTTCCTTTCTGAAATCAATAAAAATATAAAAAATAAAATAAAATGAATGAGACTAGGTGTTTTTTTTTGTTTGTGTGTGTTTTAGTTTTTTTGTTTTTGGTTTGTTTTTTTGGCTAGTTTTAAATGGCTTTAATTCAAAAAATTATATTTATTGTTGAGATATTACAAATGTCCCCTTTTGTTCTCCCACTGACTCCTTCAAGCCCTCCCCTGCCCCCTGAGGCCCTCACCACCCCATTCTCTGTGTCCATGGGTTACGAATACAAGTTCTTTGGTTAATCTCTTCCTACCCACCCACTCATTAAAAATGAGCCCTGCCCTAACTGGTTTGGCTCAGTGGATAGAGCGTCGGCCTGCAGAATGAATGGTCCCAGGTTCGGTTCTGGTCAAGGGCATGTACCTTGGTTTCGGGCACATCCCCAGTAGGGGGTGTGCAGGAGGCAGCTGGTCGATGTTTCTCTCTCATGGATGTTTCTAACTCTCTATCCCTCTCCCTTCCTCTCTGTAAAAAATCAGTGGAGAAAATATCCTCCAGTGAGGATCAGCAACAACAAAATAAAATGTTAATATTCTCAGTGTTTACATGTGAAAGGTCTTGAACATCTGAAACTGGAGAAAAGCTTGAATTGCTTTTCCTCTGATACAAGGTCCTCTCTTGGGAAATAAAAAATATTCTCTTTCAATAGTACAATCTAATCCTTTTGAATGTTGGTGACTCATTTGCCTAAAAAACATTTGGAATCAGCTCAGGTGGGCTCAGTTCCTCGGAGTATTGTTTCATACATCAAAGGCTGCAGATTCGATTCCAAGTTAGGGCACATACCTAGGTTTTGGGTTCAATCCCCAGTTGGGGCACATAAGGGGGCAACTGACCGATGTTTCTCTCTTTCTCTCTTCCTCTCTCTTTAAAAATCAATAAAAACATATCCTTGGGTGAGGATTTAAAAAACTTAAAAAAAATCATTGACATATCCGCCCCTCCCAAATGATTTTTAGAGAGCGTGGAGGGGAGGGAAGAAGGAAGAATTGAGAGAGAGAGAGAGAGAGAGAGAGAGAAAGAGAGATCTATATATGATTGGTAGTGCCTCTGTTGCCTTTGGGGTGCAAGATTGAACCTGCAACCCAGATATGTGCCCTTGGTTGGGAATTGAACCTGAGACCCATTGGTGCTCGGACCAATGCCCTAACCACTGAATCACACTGGCCATGGCTCATTGGTTGATTGTTGACCTATGAACTAGGAGGTCACCATTTGATTCCTGCTCAGGGCACCTGCCTGGGTTGTGGGTTGTGGATTTCCAGTGGGGGGTGTACAGGAGGCAGCCGATCCATGATTCTCTCTCATCATTGATGTTTCTATCTCTCTCTCCCTTCCTCTCTGAAATCAATAAAAATATATTGGAAAAAAAGAATTAACCAATGAAAGCATAAATAAGTAGAACAACAAATCAATGTTTCTCTCTCAATCAATCAATCAATAAAAAAATCTTGCTAAGAGTATCGATCTCATGTTCAGTGTTCCTACCTCAATTACCAAAAAAAAAAAAAAAGATTTGCAAATTCTAGCTTCTGCCCTTCCCACCCAGAGCTTGTTATGCAAGAATAGTCATTGAATAGTCATGAGTAGTCAGTCACTGACATCCTCCTCATGCACGAAGGCTGCGTTCTAGGTGCTGCTATGAGATGTACAAGATAACTTCTCAGCCCGACCCGTGTGGCTCAGTGGTTGGTCATGACCTATGAACCAGGAGGTCACAGTTCAATTCTCGGTCAGGGCACATGCCCGGGTTGTGGGCTCAGTCCCCAGTGTGGGGTTTGCAGCAGGCAGATGATCAATGATTCTCTCTCATCATTGATGTTTCTTTCTCTCCCTCTCCTTTCCTTTCCTCTCTAAAAAATATATATATTTTCTGTCGGGAAGCGTAGAGTATGGGGAAAGCAGACCCTCATGTTATGAGCAGAGTGGACCGTCGTTGGCGGTGGGAGAAGACTGTTCGCTGAAGCCCAGAGCTTACTGATGTCAGAGAGTGAGAATCTATTGGTAGTGCACGGGGATATGCCGGGGGAAGATCCTTCACACCTGAAACAAGCTGCAACAGTTTCACATCACCCCACCGAGCCTCATCAGTCAAGAGTCACGCTGGCCAATGGGAGGGGAGCGATTCCACAGCCAATCAAAGGGCAGGCACGGCCTTATAGTCTTGGCGCCCACAGATGCTTTCTGATGGGGACCAGCCTGGAGGACCAGCCGCCGGATTGGGTGAGGATGCCTTCTTTCGAGCCTTCCTTCCTCTCTCTCTCTCTCTCTCTCTCTCTCTCTCTCTCTCTCCTCTTCTCAGCACTTCCTGCAGGTCTAGAGTACATAAAGAACGAGGTAGTGGGCACCCAAAAGAACCAAGTCCTGCCCCTTCGTTGTGGGAAGGAAGCTCTAAGGGGAAACGCGTTTACATTCAAGCAGAGATGGTGCACCCAGCACTTCTCTTGAAACCTGTTTCCAATGCTGAACTGGGTGAGAGAACAGGACCGAGGCCTCCTAGTTTTTTCAAATGGAATCGGAGCCCTGGCCGGGTAGCTCAGATGCTAAGAGCGACCTCCCCATATGCCAAGGTTGCAGGTTTGATTCCCCGGCACATACAAGAACCAACCAATGAATGTATAAATAAGTGGAGCAACAAATCTCTCTCTCTCAAATCAATAAATTAAAAAAATAAATAAAATGAAACAAAATTGAATCAGAGACAGAGTTGGAAGACCTTGGGTAGCGGAACTAAGGAGAAATGATGAAGATCCCCAAAGCCAAAGTCTTAGACCTGGTTGGTCTCTCGGTTCTGATTGTGAGATTCACGGAACCTGGGGAGACAATGAAAACCAGGTCCGGGCGATTACGGAGGGCGGGGCAGGCGGGCAAACGGGAGGTTTGAGTGTGAGACTTGCCGTCTTGGTCATTGAGATGGATGATTGGCTTCCAGTTCCTAATCTTTCACCATCGGAAGTTCCAGTGGGCCCGCATTTTACCCCGAATCACATGTAAATGGCAATGTGGCTGCTGCCGGTCGGGCTTGGCTGCAGAAGTGGAAGGAGAGGGGGTGGGTCAGGTGCTGTGAGTTGTGAAGACCCAGGCAGGCTGTGCCCAGACCGTGCGTGAGTGGTTAGGGTGTTTCCAGGGGGTTGCCCACGTCTGGACCCTGCAGTGTGCGGGGCGGGTGTTAACCTGCTGCATCCGAAAGGGCTTCAGGGGACACGTGCACTGTGTTCAGGAGATTTCAGCTAGAAAAGCAAGGAGAGAGGAATGTTTAGAGAAAAGCCTTATGACACAAGCTTTTTAAATTGTGGTAGAATACCCATAAAACAAAGTTTCCTATTTTAACCGTTAAAATGTATTTATTTATTTATTTATTTATTTATT